AGAGTTATATAGAGTTATATAGAGTTATATAGAGTTATATAGAGTTATATAGAGTTATATAGAGTTATATAGAGTTATATAGAGTTATATAGAGTTATATAGAGTTATATAGAGTTATATAGAGTTATATAGAGTTATATAGAGTTATATAGAGTTATATAGAGTTATATAGAGTTATATAGAGTTATATAGAGTTATATAGAGTTATATAGAGTTATATAGAGTTATATAGAGTTATATAGAGTTATATAGAGTTATATAGAGTTATATAGAGTTATATAGAGTTATATAGAGTTATATAGAGTTATATAGAGTTATATAGAGTTATATAGAGTTATATAGAGTTATATAGAGTTATATAGAGTTATATAGAGTTATATAGAGTTATATAGAGTTATATAGAGTTATATAGAGTTATATAGAGTTATATAGAGTTATATAGAGTTATATAGAGTTATATAGAGTTATATAGAGTTATATAGAGTTATATAGAGTTATATAGAGTTATATAGAGTTATATAGAGTTATATAGAGTTATATAGAGTTATATAGAGTTATATAGAGTTATATAGAGTTATATAGAGTTATATAGAGTTATATAGAGTTATATAGAGCATAAATCCTATATAGATACCTTTCTTTGAGGTTCTTTTCTATGCCGACCGGTCGGCTCCTTTGCGTTTCTCTATTTTCATTTAAATTAATTAAATAAATAAGATTTTTCCATTCATTTAGGTTCATTCAGGTTCATTCATTTAGGTTAAAGCTTCCAGAGGAGTTCATCGTGGAAGATCAGAATGGTTGTGATGTCACGCTACGTTCGTTCATTTAGTGGCAAAGAATTCACTCCTGGCTAGGGTTAGTTTTACGGTTTCTTTGCGGTTCATTTTTTTGCCAGTTGGCTGGCTTTTCCGGCTGGCGGGTTTCACCGCGGCTCATTTCTCTTTTTTCATATAAATTAATTAAATAAATAAAATTTTTTTATTTTATTCATTTAATTCAGGTTGAAGCTTCCAGAGGAGTTCATCATGGAAGATGTCAGGCTACGTTCGTTCATTCAGTGGAAAAGAAAACACGCCTGGCTTGGATACGTTTTATTCTTTTTTCTCAGTAATTTAACATTAAGTGAGAATGCTCACGCACACACATTCACACACAATTACATTACGTAGCTATATAGGTAGGTTAGATAGGCATAATTTTAATTGTAGGTAGGATAGATAGGAAGCATCCAACACTAATGTAGTTGAATAGGTAGGCGCGTAAGTTTATCGCTTCTATTTTTTCTTGCACCCACATTACACGCATCAGCATATTACACACACACACACACACACACAAATACATAAATAAACACATATGTTAGTATTTGAGCGTAATTTTATTTTCATTACACATTCTAATTTATTATTACTAAGGTTGAGAGTAATTTAATTTCATAGGTAGTTAAGGTCAATAATGTAATTCTAGGAACAATCTTGTAATGTAAAATAAAACGCTGTAAGTGTATCGATAGGTGTGTTAATTATAAGTTTTACATTATTATTATTATTATGTTGGAGCCCAAGGCATTACGTAGGTGGTGGGGTGGGTGCCGAAAGGCCAATGAATTGGGCTCTTGAGTTTTGTAATTTTAGGTAAGCTAGGGCCCTAATGTAATGAATAGGTAGGTTAAGGCTACGTTGTAACATACTCATTAATAGGTTTAGGGTTTAAGTTTTATATTATTATTACTAAGTTGGAGCCCAAGGCATTACGTAGGTGGTGGGGTGGGTGCCGAAAGGCCAATGAATTGGGCTCTTGAGTTTTGTAATTTTAGGTAAGCTAGGGCTTAATTGTAATGAATAGGTAAGTTGAGGGTACGATAGCCGATAGACTCTGAATTTCGAAGTCTCTTGTCAGAGGTAAGCCTTGGTGGCCAGTGGTGAACCGGCAATGGTTTACTATCCGGACGGCAATGGTTTACTATCTGCACGGTAATGATTTACAATGCGGTACGGCCATAGTCTACTACCCGCACGGCTTCCGGACGGCAAATGGTTTACTATCCGCACGGCAATAGTCTACTATCCGCACGGCAATGGTTTACTATCCGGTGCCCTGGCTGTCGGTGAACCTCTGTGCAAGGAGGGAGAATGAAGGGGGACTTTCGACTATCGTACCATTATCAATTTAATATAGATTAGTTAAGGTAATTGAATAGGTAGATAGGATTATTTTTATTAAGCAATTTGAGATGCAAGCACCGCTAAGCTTTCTGATGACAATTTTCTCTTTCTCCATTCCACGGGCTGTGTTTCAACAACAATCTCGAGGAGGACTGGCACCAGTTTTGGAGGACAACGTAGGAACCAGAAAACATTCAACATTCTGCCTTTGTCGAATAGACGACGGTAAGTTTTTTTTCTTCATTTTAATCTCTTTATTATTTTCAATATTATTTATTTGTCATTATTTCCATTTTTTAATTTTTTGCTTCTAAGATTCTAACATTCATTTACTACTTCGCTAATAAAAAAAATTGTCTACAGAATGGTGAGAGGTGGGCAGTGGTGGGAGTCAGCACGTTTCAGATGGTGGTCTCATGATGATTTACGTATGATGATGGTGGTGTAGGAAGAATCAGCGCGTTGGCTGTTCGACTGACACTCAGAAGTTCGGATGAAATCTTGTGTGCCGACTTGAATGTGGTGGTCGGTGCAATGGAGTACAGTAACGACGATTTTTGAAGTAAGGTTTAGTTTCTTTTTTTTATTTTTCTCATTCATTCATTTTTTTCACTCAATCTATCAAATTGTTCTTCCATTAATTGACGTTAATTCGTTCTATTCATTCTTTTAACTAATTATTTAATCATTCAGTTAATCATTTATTCGTTCGTTCCTTTGTTCCTTGATTTACTACTAAGCTAATAAAAATAACATTTCTACAGAATGATAAGAGGTGGGCTGTGGTGGGCGTCAGCACGTTTCAGATGATGGTCTCATGACGATCGTTTCGATGACATTTTGAAGAAAACAACAACGACGTTTTTTGAAGTATGGCTTAGTTTCTTTTTTTATTTTCTCATTCATTCATTCATTTTATTACTACCTTTCAATTTATTCCTCCATTAATTGATTCATTCTATTCATTCATTAAATCATTGATTGATTAATTAATTAGTTGATTAATTCATTCAACCAATCATTCAGTCATTCAGTTAATCATTTATTTGTTCGTCCCTTTGTTCCTTGATTTACTACTTCACTAATTAAAAAAACTTGTTTACAGAATGATGAGAGGTGGGCAGTGGTGGGCGTCAGCACGTTTCAGATGGTGGTCTCATGATGATCGTTCCGATGACAATTCGAAGAAAACAAAAACGACGGCTTTTGAAGTATGGTTTAGTTTCTTTTTTATTTTTCTCATTCGNTCATTCATTTTATCACTATCTTTCAAATTAT